GTGTGTGTGTGTGTGTGTGTGTGTGTGTGTGTGTGTGTGTGTGTGTGCGTGCCTGCGTGCCTGCGTGCGTGCGTGCGTGCGTGCGTGCGTGATATATATCGTTATCGCCACCCTTCACAATACATATCGTGATATGAATTTTATGCCACATCGCACATTCCTACTGTAGGTCCATCCATCTGTCTTGTGAGCTGAATATCTTAAAAAATAAGCAATGCACTGACTTCTATTTTGTTGTGTAGCTGCATCTAGGTGTAAGAAAAGTCATCATGAAAATTTGTTTGCCATATCAAAATTCAAGTTGGCTGCTACCATGCATCTAAACCTTGTGGGCATGATAACTTGAAAAATAAGTGAGGTATTGACTTCCATTTTTTTATGCGAGTTGTCGCATCAAAATCCAAGATGGCCAGTGCTATATACAATATATTGGCATATATATATAATATCTAAGTCAAATGCAGTATTATACAGAGTAAGGTACTTATTAAACAATGATGCTTTATATTTGCTATATAATACACTTGTAGTCCCGCATTTAATTTACTGTGTCACTGTTTGGGGTACAGCATGTAAAACCATAACAAAGCCTATTTTTATTCTGCAAAAAAGAGATGTAAAAATTATAACAAAAAAGTGTTATTGTCACCCTTCTAATGTTCTGTTTTGTCAATTGAAAATACTTAAGTTTTATGATTTGGTGGATTATAATATTCTTTTATTCATGTTTAAAGCTCAGAATTGCATGCTACCATCAAACATTCAAACATATTTTGTAAAAAGGAAGAGTTGTTATAATTTGAAGGGCATAGATATTTTTGTTAAACCCAAGTATAGAACCAGTTTAAAGGCTCGGTCTACTACTATACAGGGAATGAGTCTGTGGAATGGTTTGGAAGATGATGCTAAAATGGTGAAGTCAATGTTCATATTTAAGAAAAAGATAAAAACTGTTTTGTTGGAACAATATATATAACTGATTAATATCTATTTTGTTAAGTATGAAATTTTGATGAGTTATGTATTTTGATGAATGTTTGTTTAAATTGATGGTTTGAATTGTTGTTTATGAGGGAGCAGATATGATAAGAAATTTTCTTCTTCTGCTTCCTTTCATTTTATATTTGTTTTTCTTTAATTTTTTGAAATTGTATTTGTGTTTTTATTGGAAATTAAATGAAATGAAATGAATAAATAAATAAATAAATAAAATAAAAAATATATGGAAACTGGCCACCTCTACCATTTAAAGAAATTATTCTTTAGTTTTTCATTTAATTTCTTTATTAACCTTTATTTAACCAGGCAAATCCCATTGATCTCACAGATTTTTTTTTTGGGGGGGGGGCAGCCTGAAGGCAGCCTGTTTAGACTGTGGGAGGAAACTAGTACCTACAGAAAGCTCATGCAAACATTAGAACATCCAAATGCCACACAAAATGACCCCTGGTCCAAACCGGGGATTGAACCCAGGACCTTCTTGCTGTGAGGCAACAATGTGAACTACTAATGCATAATGCTGCCATTTTTATATTGCTTAAAAGTAGGAATGTGCAATATGGCATAAAATTCATATCACAATATGTATTGTGAAGGGTGGTGATAACGATGTATATCACAATATGTTTTTGTATAAAACTTGCAATAGGAATGGGAAAAAAAAAGCACAGGGTGTCCTTTTGCCATAATTTTTGAATTAAGAAAATTCCACTACTAGGTCCAGAGAGTTTTTAAATAATAAAAAAAAATCAAGTATTAGGCTTTTTCTTGTAGTGCAAAAGATATCAAATGTAGTTTTACTCATATGTTTTAAACAAAATTGTTAACTCTTAACAGTTTCTAGTATTCTCACTTAAGAAATGAACAGCAACAGAGCAGTATTTTACACTGAAAACACTTCACCCTCCAACCCTCTAGTGGGTGTCTCCTTCCGCTTTAAGGAGAGCTGACAAAATGAGTCTGTGGCTTTGACCAGAGGGTCTCGCAGTAAAATCACAACACAACGTTCTTTTCACAGATCAGAGAGCAGGTTTCTCTAAAGCTGACCAACGCTTACTGTAACTTTAGACAGAAAAAAAAAACTTTAGACGGAACACAGCTCTTTGCACATGCGTCCGAATACTGCAACACTATGGCAAGCCGGGCGTAGTTAGCTTGTAGCTTCGCTACTTGGCTCTGGAAGAAAATATTTTAACACCACTTATGCACAGTTTTCAACTAAAAAAAAGTAACAATTAAACTGACAACTCTGATTTTACATCAGACACAGCATTACTGCAGTTAGCCGGTAGAAGACAGATCTCTATCGTAGGCTAAATTTCTATCGTTTCTACCGTGTACCATATATATCGTGCATTCTTGCTTAAAAGTATAGTTTCCTCAAATGATTAGGGTGGCCAAAGATTAATCTATAGTGGTCAAGGCCACCATTGGACACCCCCAGGCTCTGCCATTGCACTTGGTGGTGAATAAAATAGTTCCCTCCACTCCCAAGATTTGTTAATCTGTGCTGCATTGGACAAGACCAAAAAAAAATTCTTGTACTACACAGTGTAATACCTACCCACTTGAATATCTTGCAACGAAATCATTGACACGAAAACTACAAACAATGTCTGTTCAAATCCCTCGGTCACATAACATGCAGCTTGTTGTTCTTGGTTTCTTTTCAAGGTCTCCCTTATTAGTTTTTTTGTCATTCTGCTACAGGTTGATCTGATTTAGTTTATAAAAAAGAATGTCATGCCAGAATTGCTTAGACTTTTTTTTTACTTTCTATTTTATAGTGATTGGCTTACAAATCTTATGTATTCATGATAGACTTGGATATTACTTTTGTCTTGTGGGGAAAAAGTGTAATTGATTTCTGCTTTGTGTTAAACTACAGTTAAAAAAATGTCTTTTTTTTTTTTTTTGTCTTTTTTTTTTAACAGATGATCAGATTTGATATCAAGATTTCAATGGCAGACGACACTTTTACCACCAGGTACAGAAGTTTATTTTTTATTTTATTTTTGGAGGGTAGTTGGCATGGGGTAAGCGTCTACTACAAGGAAAAAAAAAATTAGAAGTGCTTTACAGTAGTTCCTCGTTTATTGCTAGGGTTGCGTTCCGGACCCCTCCCTCCCCTCGCAATAAGTGAAAATACGCTAAGTAAGTTATATTTATTTTAGTATTTTTATATATAAAGGCTTTAGAAACCCTTCCCGCACTCTTGCAATGTTCTAAACTTTTAAACCTATGTAATTTGAAAAACATACATATATGTACTGTACAGTAGGGATGCACCGATTCACTTTTTTTAACTTCCGATCCCGATACCTTAATCTGAATATCGGCCGATGTGGATCCAGTTCCGATATCATCATTATCATCATCATTATTGATTTTATGAGGCTGTAATAATCTCCTCCAAGTACAGTTTGTACAAATATATGCATGCATGTCCAAAAAGGCAACTTGAGGTAAGTTTTATTAATATTGGATAAGTTTTTATTAAAGTTAGAATTAAATTCTGCTAACAAAAAACATGTTTTTTTTTATTTTTTATTCCTAGCTTTAAAGTGGATATTAAAATGATTAATTTAAGTGATTGTTTAAAGTTATTTTATATTTTTTTAAATGAGGGGAAGATGTAATTTTTTTTCTTCTTTCTGCACTCTTTTCATTCAATGTTTTCTTTTTGATTAATTTTTGTTTCTTTTAAATTAATGACTAAATGAATTAAATAAAATGTTAAATGGCTTTAAACATCTGCTAAGTTCATGGCATAAACCAACAGACACGTTCCTGTTTTTAGTTATTTACATCACTTTATAATTTACTGTAGCTGTTTTTGTTTCTTTTTTTTTTTTTTTTTAATATATATATAATTTTCAAATCATGTTTTTTTATGATTGTCTACTGTTGTACAAATATCTCCTGGAGGGTAAACTATATCTTGGCTGCAAGTATCAAGCTGAGAAATCCTTCGTTTTCTACAACTAATAGCAGTTGGTCATGAATTATGATGAAGTTTAGCAACTTCTCGGTAAACCTTCGAGCTCCGTGGCTTCAGCGATGTCTTCTTCTTGTTCAATTCAAAGCAAGCAGTCTGATTTCGGTCAGCCGCGCTGAGTCTGCCCCCTCCTCAGAGACGGGCAGATTGGACGCGGCTGGCTGGGGTTGAGTCGGCTGTTTTGGTTTGAGCAAAGAGTAGCGCCCCGCTGAAGCCCTAGAGCTCGAATGTCCAACGTAAAACTAACTTTACCGCGGTTTAATGTGGCGCTATGGCTCTGCAGACATTGCACGTTGCTGTCTTGCTTTGTGGTGTTTCTAGTGTAAAATACTTCCACACAGCGGACATGTTTAGATGAAAAGTTGGTTAGCTGTTAGCCACAGTGCTGCTAACTCAGTCCTCACATTGTAGCTGGCTGCAAACTATGAAATGGATTTCCTGAATGTGAGATGGGTCTTATTACTCTGGGTTCATGAGGCGCTTCCATTCAGGAAATCCATTCCATAGTTTGAAGCCAACTTGCATCATGGATTGGAAATATCGGCAGGTTGGATTGGAAAAATCGGATACGTAAATTATGCTATTATCGGATGCCGATACCGATGCTGGATCGGCCCCATCCCTACTGTACAGTACTGCAATCATTTTATTCATCTGCTCTGCAGAACAACAGCATGCTCTGTTCCGGTTGGTCAGGCACAGTTCTGGTTCTACAGACCTACCCTGCCGGTTTTGGTTGGCTCTTTGCAGTCCTTGAGCACCAAAATGCTTTTGAAGGGAGCTGTACCTTCAGATGGCCAGCACGAGATCACATGATGATCTCGACTGAGTCCAAATCCGCATGGGGAAATCGCAGTGGGCTCCAAAGAGAATGCCTGACCTCCTGGTGGTGCCTCCCCACTCTGAAGCCTCGTGGGCCGGCGGGTGGCACTCAGATTGACCAATAAGTCTGGAGGTCCGGTTCTGGTCAGCTCTCTGACAGCTCAAGCTATGATCGCATACACTTGTTTGATAGTCCTTGCACAGTCTTGTTCCTTATGCATGTGACATTCAGCAACAATGGAGCTGTCTGTCATGGATCTTTGGGTTAATTTTTAAAGCAGAGTTTGAAAAGTACCACAAACATTTTAAAAAAAGAACACCCATAGTCAAAACAAAAACACTGCATGGTCAAATAATACATGGCTATACACAGTCTGCTGTAAATGGACCTGTAGGATCTACACAAACTTGTTCTGATGACAGAATTTGTCTTGTTCGGACCTTGAGATCAAGTCGATATGGAAGCTGTCAACTGCCTGTACACACCCTATTTCAGAAAATCATGTAATCTTCATGTTATATGGCAAGCTTCTTTGATTAGTTTATCAATCAACCTTTATTTATACAGGTAAATCCCATTGAGCCTTGAGGACTCATTTACAAGAGAGACCTGATTTCAACAAAGAAAGATGACAAATGGACAACAGCAACAACAAAACAGTTATAAAAAAAGCATACTACAGTTTTTTTCTTTTTCTTTTTTTTTTACAAATAGGATGGCTAAAAGGAAAAGGTAACAAAACAAAAAACAGCTAGATTCCAAGACAAATGTAGAAAACTAAAAACAGGAACATGTCAGCATTGGACTCTGCCAGGTGTCCAACAGATTCTTAAAGACACTTAGAGAGGTCAAGGTCGAGAGCTTCAAATCTTTTTGTAAGATGTTCCAGGAAACCGGAGCGGAATAGGAGAAGGCCCTTTTGCCTAGTTCAGTCCTCATTGAGGGAACACTGCAGGTAATAATGTCCTGAGAGCGCACTCCGTAGCTGCACTCACGCAGAGACATGTAGGAGGAGATATATGAAGGCAACAGACCAAGAAGTGATTTAAAGATGAAAATATACCAGTGAGAGAGTCTGCGTGAAGTTAACGATGTCCAGTTAACCAGTGAATACAGTGTGCAGTGGTGGGTACGATAATCACAGCCAGTTATGAATCTTAGTGCACCATGATAGACAGCATTCAACATCTGCAAGGATCCATCATCATATGTTGCATGATTCCCTAAAATCAAGAACAAGCATACCAGTTTTCAAAGGGGGGAAACCAAACCAGCCATTCTATTATTTTTGTGTATTAAACAATTATGTGTTCTAGAATTGCACCGCTCAGGGTGGCTTCATGTTGGAGCAGCTCTGTTACTTTCATTTTGAGATTTTGCTTTTGGAAACTTTTAATTCCTCTTTTTCTAGATGTAAATCACTTTTTTTGGATGATTTTTACCTCTTGTATCAGATGTTGTGCAGCTGGAAAGATTTTTCTGAAACTTTTTAGTTTTGGACATTTATGATTGCGTAACCATGGCAACAAGGCAGTTTTCTACAACCAACAGCAGCTGATTAACATCTCAAAAGCTCAAATAATATCTCAGCTACAGCCCCAAATCTCAAATGAGTTGAAAAGGATGTTCTGTGGACACATTCTCATCTCCCTGCTAGCTGTGCTTGAGTGCCTGACCACTGAAATCCTGGAACTAGCAGGAAACACGGCTCATGACAGCTGAAGGACGGGAATGTTCCTCGGCACCTACAGTTGGCTGTCTGCAGCGACGAGGAACTCTGCAGACTGCTGGGAGGAGTGATCATCGTTCTGGGAGGAGTTCTGCCCAGCATTCAGGCGGTCCTACAGCCCTGGGGAACCGAAAGGCCATCCGAGTCTGGGTGGACGGAACGGACGGCATCTGCAGTCAGTTTCTTAGGATCCACTGTGGGATGGACCTTAACAAGAGAGCCTTCCTGCTTACAACCGTCAGTATCTATAACATCTCTTAATGAAATGAGGATAACGAGTTACAGCAACAAATAATTTCCCTTTGGGATTAGTAAAGTATTTTTGAATTGAATTGAATTGAAAAAGAAAGTGGTTCATACGAATAGCACCAATTAAGTGAATCAGATCTCTTGCTACTAAAGATTATTAATACAATATATTGTCCCACATTTATCGCGGGGGATCCGTATCCGGAAGCCCAGTGATAAGAGAAAAACCGTGAAGTAGGAATAGTAGTACAAGCAGTAAATAGAAGTTTAAGTATTTATATATACTAATATATACACTGCTCACAAAATTAAAGGGAACACTAATATAACACATCCTAGACCTCAATTAATTAAATATTCTCATTGACAAACTTTATTATTAGCACAGTGGAATTGATTGAGAAGAAAATAACACAAATTATCAATGTAAATCAGAATTATTACACCATGAAGATCTGGATTTGGATTCATACTCGATATGAAAGTGGAAAATAACATGACAGGCTGATTCAACGTCAGCGAATATTACCCAAGACAAGTCTAAATGCGGCTCAATAGTGTGTGGCCTCTACATGCTTGTATAACCTCCCAACAATGCCTGTGCATGCTCCTGGTGAGACGGAAGATGTTCTTCTGAGGGATCTCTTCCCAGACCTGGATTAGAGCATCGGTTAGCTCCTGAACAGTCTGTGATGTGATGTGGCCTTGGTGGATTGACCAAAACATGTCCCAGATGCTTAATTGGATTCGGGTCTGGAGAACAGGCAGACCAGTCCATAGCATCAACGCCCTCATCATGCAGGAACTGCCTACACACTTCAGCCACATGAGGCCTAGCATTGTCATGCATAAGGAACCCAGGGCCCACTGCACCAGCATATGGTCTCACAATGGGTCTGAGGATCTCATCCCGGTACCTTATGAACACTTTCAAGACCCGAACAGACCACCCAGCACCAAATGAAGAGCATCTCAGCGTGACCTCAGCCGAAGTAAGGAGTACCTTCAGGAGGATTAATCCACACAAGGCAACCGGCCCAGACAACAACCCCGTAAAAGTGTTGAAAGAATGTGCTGATCATCTCTGTGAGGTGCTGGCAGACATTTTTAACACCTCACTTACCCTGGAGACAGTACCCACCTGCCTGAAGACTGCCACCATCATCCCAGTCCCAAAAAGCTCTACAG